TTTTTGTTGATGACAAAGGGGGAGAAGTGATGACTAAGTGATGACTTACACCATAACGATAGCATGACTTATATGAATTACAAAAACTTGTGTGATATGAATGTCTTATATGCCTTACAAAATCCTTGAAAATATCGCAAGATTGATTGATCATATTGAAGGCATGCCTTACATTTATATCATGAAATTCATGTTGAAAATCTTTATCTTCTATCGTAGTAAAAATTGTCTCTTATCATGATTTTCATCGAAGTTTTGTATTTACTATTGCTTAATGAGAATAACGATAAGTTCTACGGTTAGAACTTATCGGTTTATGCTTGAATTCTATGGATGGAATTCAAGTGTTTTCATCTTCTCATAATATGGCATATAGATAGGGGGAGTTATGTTTAACTCTGTCATCAATTGATTGTCATCATCAAAAAGGGAGAGATTGTTGAATCTCGGATTTTGATGATGAAATCAATTGATGGGTTAATTGATCTAATCCATATTATTGAGTTAAGTGTGCAGGATTAACTACGATAACCAGAAAACATAAAGCAAGAATACCGAAGTCAAGATCGATGGACGTTTAAGAGTCCGAAGAATCGTCGGAGATGCTGCCGGAACCAACCGAGAAGAAATCGGGAATCTATCGGAATTTTCGGAAGTTTGCCGAAGAGATCGTCGGAGGTTCACGGAGATCACCGAGAAGGCTCGGCTACTCGTTAAAGTCATCACAAGATCGGGAGCTTGATGGGAGTCCGTCGGAAGAAAGTTCGTCGGAAAGCTCGCCGGAACAAGACTCGACGTTCGCGGTTGAAAACTTGCTTAGGATGTGTTTTGTTATGTAGTTCACTTGTAATTAGGATTAGGATTAAGAGATAATCCTATATCCTGGTTAGGGGCCAACTGGGCCCAAAGTCAGATTTGGTTTGGGCTAAAATTAAGCCAAACCAGTGAATCGGAGAGCCAAGCGGTGGCATCGCCTAGCACCCGAGAGCTGGGCGGTGACACCTCCTGGGCTGGGCGGTTGCACCGTCCAGCACCCGAGCGCTGGGCGGTGGCACCGCCAGCATCGGGAACCCAAAGAGAATTCAAATTTTGGAGCCCAAATTTGAATCCTCTTGAGGCCTATAAATACCCCTCAAATCTCAGCTGAGATTACAACTTTTGAGAAGCATTTGATTGAGAGAAAAGTCTTAGAAAGTCTTAGCAAGTCTTGTTTTCAATTTACTAGAGAGTTCTCCTCATTCTTTCTTATTGAAAATTTGTAAGAGGTTGAACTACTTGTAAAAGGTTGTAAGAGGGATATTTACCCTTCCATTTCAAGAGATTTGCTAGTGGAAGGTGGGAGCCTCATCGAAGAGGGGCATCGCAAGTGGATGTAGGTCATTTGACCGAACCACTCTAAAATCGGCGTAATCTCTGGTTTGCATTTCATTATTGCTATTTACATTACTGCAAACCTTCTTACATGCTTTAGTTCCTTATTACCTTTGCTGTGTAACTTCAAGAATACGCTTTCAAGTTAAGCTTTTCAAGTTCCGTTCTTATCGTACGAAAGATTTTTCTAAAACCGAAGTTTTAATTCGCTGCATTAATTCACCCCCCCCCCTCTTAGTGCCGCTCCGATCCTAACAAATACAAGGTTAATAAAAATATGAAATTTGAAGACGAGGCATGGCACTGAAAAGGAACTCTGTTTTGTGCTGCAAAGTTTAGTTGAGGAATATAGCGAGATGGAATTTGAAGACAAGGCAAGGCACTGAAGACGAACTCTGTTTTGTGCTGCAAAGTTTAGTTGAGGAACATAGCAAGATGGAATTTGAAGACAAGGCAAGGCACTGAAGATGAACTCTGTTTTGTGCTGCAAAGTTTAGTTGAGGAATATAGCTTTGTTCCTGCTTGCAAAAAGAACGGGCTACTCCATTAGTTTATTATCCATCTACAACAACCCAAGGGATAGGGATGCTTAATCTCATATGAGACTGTGTTTGAAACCTTCTAGCTATGTCCTGGTCCTATATGGACATGAGAGCTACCAAGAAACTAATGTTTTGTTCTCCCTAAATTAACTTAAAAGTGCTACACCATCATCATCCTATGTTGAGCTCAAGATTCAAAAAGGACATTTTTATGGGATTTCAGTTTGCATTATTAGCTATATTCTCAACAAGTCATACTGATTAATATTTCCGCTAGGAATATGGATGAATAAGGGTGTTACATTGGAGGCACAAAACATGGTTTTAGAGCTCAACTCTATCGTAATTTGCAGACCTGAAATGGTTTTTCCTTTCTTTTTTTTTTTTTTTAAACAAAAGGAACACTTGTATTAAAAGAAAATTTTAGCCAGAGGCTACTAAATTAAGGGGCAGTGAGCCCCAACCCGCTTAATTTATATTACACATTTGCATTTTGGTGCCATGTGATGTCATGTAGCAACACATTTTATTTGATGATCTAAGTGTCTGGCTCTGATCTCACTGAAAACAACACAGATAGTGAAGGTAATAGTTTTTGATTTTTCAGAGTTTGACTCCGTATCCTGACTTCAATATTATCCGAGGAAGCTTGAACTTAACATACAAGATAAGGACTTGGATCTTATGCATGCACACAGGCTACAAGTATTACAGAACATGTACGTTGAAGATGGTGGACGTCAGTCCTCCAAAAAAATGCCTTCTTTCACACAGATTGCAGTTGTACTTGCACTTGGTTCTCTCCATTCCCCTCTGCTGCCTTCGCTGCACAGCTGCGGGCTTCCTTGTTCTTGCCCCACAAAAGAGAGTAGAGGCCAGCAATCACCAGAACTGACCCCAAAACACTGCCAACACCACGAAAGAGAGCATGTAAAACCAGTAATGTAATCACAAGAAAGCAAGAGATGAGTATGAGTAACAGGACACCACGATACCTTCCGAGGTAAACCTCCTCATGGAGGATGGTGAAGTCGATGCCTGCCCCAAAAATCTGTACAAAAGGCATGAATGCTGCAGTGAAGACCGGCCCTCTTTGCTCCACGCACCAAGACATGGCCAGGAATCCCAGTCCAGATCCCGCAAATCCCTAAATCAACGTGAAACTCCATCACCACAACGACTTGAAACAAAAAATACCCATTCGAAGTCGATTGCTTTAACATGTATGTTGGTAAGGTTTAGGCTCTAAAAGCTGAAGCAGTGATTGGATCGCTGCGTTGCTTGTGCAGAAGTGGATGCAGATGCCGGACTGGAGGTAGCTGCTTTCTTCTTTGACTAAAGAACAAATGAGAAGTGGGTCGGCAGCATATATTCCCCTTACCCTCTCATAAAGTCTTGTCTGCTATAAAGAAGACCTTATGATCTAACTTTTGCTGCAGGATGTGTCTGAAACTTTTCCTTGGACTAGTTTTAATCGAAGTTTCGCTTGGCCACTTGCTCCTTCTTTTGTTTTCTAGCTTACTGTGATTACAACTGATACAAAACATAATGATACGACAGGATGAAAAATTAACAGTTTCTGCAATCAAGTGATTTGTAAGTAGCTTTTTCTTAGAACGCTCGCCATCAGGGAACACTAGATATATATAATTAGGCCAGCTTTTCTTTATGCTAGAATTAATCTAGGAAATCAACCATAAGCCATGCTTCTTTGACTCCGGAGAGGACCATCGCTGGGCAATATTATGGCCTCCAGAGATGGTACAGCCTAATACATTGGTGGTACACATCATTTAGTTTGAGCATATCGCTAGAGCATGTCTGTAAGGTTAAATGTGGCCCTTGAACAATCATTCATGAACTGCCTAGTGGAATATATTCCTCCCCCATACGTCATTGTCATTAAAACTTTCCATGTTTAATGTTGGACTGAGATGACACAAACAAAGTCTTTCTTGTAGGTCAATCTTAACTTAGATATAACATCCCGATTAATCTTATATTTATAATGTATAAAAATAAGATTGATTTGGAAATCATGAATGTATTACTATCAATTTTAACTTAAACATTTTAATCAATGACTAACGATCAAACGAAATTGATGAATCAGTTAGCATATCAAACGCGAGTGACACGAGACATTCCAAGAAGGAAGGAAAAAAGAGAAATTATGAAATCTGAGCAAAGTGTTTCTTACCGAAAAGATCACAGTAGCGATCTCCAGCTTCTTCCTCAAAAGCCAAACGGAGTGGCCCCTCACCGTGGCCAAGCTCATGGCGGCGGTCTGAAGGAAACTGAGGAAAAACATCAGTGCAGTGCAGGAGTAGAGAGCCGGGTACTTCTCGCCGAGTTTGGATTGCAGAGGGAACCACGAAGACAAACAAAAACAACCGGCGAGAAGCGCAAGAGACGCCATCAACCAAGTACTTGAGGTGTAGCTCATAGCAGGCGGCAACGGTGACTGTGGTTGC